ACAGCCAGCGTAAAACTTGTCGAACAATAATGACATGAATCCTTTAAGAAATTGTGGGGGTAGATGAACCCAAAAAAATAAAAATAAAAAATTTGTTACCCTTATACATGAACCACTATAAGGAAAATCTCGATTTAACGGCAGCATTTTCGGTGGAATCATATCCGTTGGTAAAAGCGGCTACATCGTCAGATATTTAGCCGGTAACTTAATGACGAATTTTCTGGTGGATACACCACCGAAACATTACTGGCTGCCAATCCGCCAGCACGTTCGTCAGTTTTTGCAAAACAAGCGATATTTTCCTATGAAAAATATGCCAGAAAGAGTCGTTATTATGTTCTCATGTACATCTTCTCTCTAGTTTACTACAATATTCTATATTTTGAGCACAATAATGATAATTATATTTCACTTTGGTGCTCCACTAAAAAATCATTAATAGTGCACATAAAATATGTGCTTATGATAAAAGTAATACATGTTACAATCCTTACATAAAATTCCATACCAAAATTCATATAGTTCCTAAGTTAGTATATGAAGATACAACAACAACAACGTCAAGTCTTTAACTCACTATGTGGGGTCGGCTATATGAATTCTTTTTCTCTATTGCGTCTTATTAAGCGTCAAATTCTAAAGAAGCATCATAACCTAAGAACATATATTAAGGAAATTAAAAAATTATGTGTTTCCTTTATAGTCTTTCATGAATTAGAAAGAATATATGTGCATTTTCTTATTAGAAATTTTAATTTGTATGTAAATAAATTAACAGATTCAATAATAGAACACAGTGTTGTTTTAAGTTATAAACATTTTTGAACAAACTATTGAGTTCTAGCTTTGAAGATTCTTTATATATGTTATGGAAATATTTAGTTATTTGCATTATAATCTTAATAAGCTTCCCCATTTTAGCAAACACAATCTTAAATTTAGAAGAGATGTCCTTATATATGTTATCATTTTGTGTGTGTAATATATTCAAGTTACTTAAACCTATCATAGCTTGGTACTATTTTATCTTCGAATAATATTAACTAATAATTTTGAATGTTATACTTACAAACATTATATATGACATACTTAGACTTTGTTATATTGCTTAGTACAAGATAAACTCTAGTTTACCCTTAAAATCTATATGTTAATTCGAGATAAACCCTACTTCATCTTAAATTCAAAATTTTGAGGTTATATCTTTGATCTTCCTAACTACTTTGAACTTCATAAGTTAATTCTTGATGAACCTGATTCGACCATAAAATTCATACGTTAGAATATACTAAATTTATTTTTTGTTCTTGAATTCCATTTGTTAAACTAAATTTAGGAATCCTAACTAGCTTTTTGAGTTTATATGCCTAGTAATTTCTTATGAATCTTTATAACTACCTTGAAATTCATAAGTAAGGTCCTAACAAATTATAATAAATCTTAAAATTGATTTAATAAATGTAATGAAATCTTAGTTGATCTTGGACACCATAGACTAGACTAGACTTGGAGCTTAAAATTTTTCCTCTTTGATCAATGTTAATATGTGCAATATACTTTTATAAAGTCTACCATATTATTAGGGGCCCATTTATTGACTTGTCTTTTGGAATAGTATAATTCTCAACCTTAGCAGACTAGATTCTCGAACCTTAAATCTTTAATGACCCTATCTTCCTAAACTAACTGGTTGCACTATATCATTTTTCGAGGCCAAATTGAAAAATATACCTCATCTCTAATAAATTATAGTTAACCTGAATTTTATATGTTAGAGTAAACTAAACCTCAGTAAGTATTAAAAATCATGAAATCAACTTGATCCTCTTAAATCATAGTCTATCTTCAAATTAATATGCTAACTTGAACACAACTTTTAGACTATTTTTAAACCAATAGGTCAGACCTAAATAAACCTAGTCATTCTTAAAGCCATAGACATAACTTAGCCTACAATATCATTAATATGTACTGAAAGTCATAGACTAGACTTAAATATCTTAAGCCTTAGTTCTATCTTCGAAGTCATATACTTGACTTGGGACATAAATAACCCTTATCCACCTTGGAATTCATAGGTTACAATAGATAAAATATCAGTCTATCTTGAAAGTATTAGGTCAAATTGAAAACAAATTACATTATATCTAGGACTATCAAAATGGGTTACGGGTCGGGTTCGGATCTAACGTGAAACTCACCCGGCATTATTCGACCTAACCCATTTTTTAAAACAGGTCAATTTCCCAGACTCGAACCCGACCCGCTTTTGATTCGGCTCAACCCGACCCGACTTGTAAGTCAGCCACCACCCTTAGTTTTCATGCTTATTCAGCCAAATCCCGTCAGACACTCAGACCAGAAAGGAAGCGACAGTAGCAGTGGCAAGGGCCGTTGGCAGCTGCAGCGAAAGGCGGTGTCAGCAATAAGGTGGCTATAGCGGCAAGGCAACGGCATCGATGCAGGCCGTGCGGTAGTGGAAGTGAATCGATCAGTCAATTCGACACAGACTGACCGACCGATGCAGTCACGCAGTGATGCGATGCAGCATGAACTAACCTATTAAATAGCATTGGAGTAGATCTTAATACTACAACAAGTGGCTATCACCACTTTCTTCGATTTCAAAAGGCTACTCAAAATGAAATTTTATGTCTAAATAGCTATGCCTAAAATTGACCTAGTATGAATAACCTAGATATTTTATAACCTAATTCGGCAATAAAAAAAATTAAAATTTAAAAGTCATCGAACTAAGCAAGAAAATATCTCTCATCGAAAACTATCTATAATGATGGTTATAATTAAACATAAAGGATATCTTAGGATGACCTAAAAACAATGAAGTCTAATGAAAGCATGTAAATTCAAATAATTTATGTCAATATCATAATAATCATAAACAAAGTTTAAATATGCATATCATTTTTTTAAAACAAAAGGGCAGCTGAACTGTGCATACTAATTTAGCAAATAATTGTGCTGTAACGTGGGCCCGTTTAAGATCACCATCAAGAAGATGGGCCCGTTTGAGATCAAAACAAGAAGATGGGCCCATAAATGGCAGCTGCGTTCTGCCAGTGACAACGTGAAGTGACTGCTCTTAGCAGCGTAGTCAAGCCCATAATCCTCCTTTCACATTTGCTGATGTGGACAGCTTGCCAACTACTAGCTGTTGTGGCACATGACTTTATGGCTTAGAAGCGATTATTATGTGTGGACATCGAACAGGAGAACGGTTCTTGCTCTATACCGAGTGCTCCGTACCGAGTGCCGTATAATTTTTTAGATGACGTGGCGCATTTTTAATGGTCTTCGGACGAAATCGGACCCGAACGTAATAATTTTTCTCAAGAGTGAGATATATACTTTCTTTATAATAGTGGGAGCTCAGTGTTAGGGACGAACTTCTAATATTTATAATTAAATTTATCTAATCTCTTAAGAAAAATATTAATCATACAAATCACTCGACCAAGATAATTGAATTAACTCTAATCTTAGATCACAAATCATGCAAATCAGCTAAGTAAAAAACATCATCATGTCACTTGAATGAGCACAATTAAAATCAAGAAAATCGCCTATACACATCTATAGTCTATATTCAATATTAAATAATAATAAACTTAGGCTTCATTTGAGACAGCTTTTTTACTTTTTTTTAAAGCAGCTTTTTAGTCTAAAAAATTTTTAGTTCAAGAAATCTTATACTATAAATTTTTTTTTTAAAAGCAGTAAGAAAGCCGTCACAAATGAAGCCTTAATCAACAATACCCAATCGATTGATAATAGAAGCTATACTTGTCTATAGAGCACTTAGTTAAGTCTGACTAATAGCCACGTCACTTCTTGGCCTTCTCATAATATCATCCATTGTAGTTGCCAAAGAGAATTTTATGAGTAAAACTTCAGTATTATAAATAGTTACATAAGAGTTTTATTAAATCTATTAAAAGAGAAAGCCACACATAACCACTCCCTTATTTTGCTATAGCTTCTAGCTATAAGTAAGCTTCAATTGTTAAGAGTTTTATCTAAAACCTACTTTTTAGAAAGCTTCAAAAGTTATTCTCTCCAGCAGGTTTACAAAATAATAAGAAAACTACCATAAAGGAAGTCTTATGTTTCATTTGGGACAACTTTCTTTCTGGATCATAAAGCCATTTTTTAGTACAAAAAATTAAATTTTTTAGTAAAAAACTGTTTTAAAAAATTTTTATACTAAAAAATTGTTTTAAGAACAGGGAGAAAGTCGTCGCAAATGAAACTTTAGTCTCCTTGAGTCGTGTAAAAAAGCCTAAAATTAGAACTGTTATTTTTCTCATGTGATCATGCAAATTTTAGGGATGGCACAGACCAAGATATATATGCTAAATACCTGAGATTTGAACTTTAATTGCCTAGCAGGGGCGGAACTATGAAGAGCTTAGGGGGGGCAATTGCCCCCCCTCAAAAAAAAATTTTTTTTTTATAGGAGTAAAATTAAAAAAAAAAAATTATAAGAGAGTAAAAAATTTTTTTGCCCCCCCTAAAAATTCTTTTGTCCTAACTTGTCCTAAAATATCTATATATTTCTTTACATTTAGTTCTAATATTCTCTTTCATGCTTTTAATAACAATTTAATTACACATTTTTTCTTAATTTTTCTTGCTTAATTTTTTAAAAAAACTTTTCGTAATATATAGATATATAATATTATTTTTTTAATATTTAATTATTTTTATGTTGTATTTTTGCCCCCCCTCAAAGTTAAAGCCGGTTCCGCCCATGCTGCCTAGAATGGTATGCTGAGTGTGCTACCATATTAAAAAAAAAGCTAAATTTTTTTAATAAGAGATCTGTTCTTTAGTGAAATTATTTATTATCCTTATTTAAATTATATTCAGTGCTAATTTTTTATTTCCTTATTTAAAAGAAAATTAATTTATTCGTTATTATTATTATTTTTATCTACTTCAACCATTTTTTTCTTCCATCGTTATAAAATGCAGCATCACCAAAGAGCTCAGACGCCTTTATAAAGCTACACGTGCTGCGGTGGTTTCAGCCTACACGCGCCTTCCCGAGGCAGCTCCTCTTCCCCACCCACAGCTCCACTTCTTGAAGAACTGCTCTGTACAAGCCGAGATAAACACAAAATGGAGAAGAGGCATAGCAAAAGGTTGAATTCGCCACAGCTGTCGGTGCTCTGGTACGCATTGTTCCTTCTCATTGTCTGTGGCGATGAGCTGGCGGCAGCCGGCGGCCCGATTAAGACGGTGGTGATAGTGGTAATGGAGAACAGGTCATTCGACCACATGCTAGGTTGGATGAAGCGGCTTAACCCTGAGATCAACGGAGTGGACGGATCGGAGTGGAACCCTACGTCGACGTCGGACCCGAAGGCCGCTAGGGTTTACTTCAAGGACGGGGCGCAGTTCGTGGATCCGGACCCGGGCCACTCTTTCGATGCGATCCGAGAGCAGGTGTTCGGCTCGAACGATACCTCGGCATCGCCGGCGCCGATGAATGGGTTCGTGCAGCAGGCGACGTCAATGTCGGCGAACATGACAGAGGCTGTGATGAACGGGTTTCCACCAGAGATGGTAGCGGTTTATCAGGAGCTGGTGTCGGAGTTCGCCGTTTTTGACCGGTGGTTTGCATCTGTGCCCTCATCCACTCAGCCCAACCGCCTCTATGTTCACTCGGCAACCTCACACGGTGCTACAAGTAATGATGCTGGGTAAGCCTAATTCAACCAATTTCGAGCCCCAAATTTCTAGTTAGGTTAGAAATTCTGATAAAGAAATTGACAAAAACGAAGATGCAGAATTTTTAATTGAATTGCTGAATTTTGTTTTTGTATGCGTGTTCTCGTGCCATTGATCAGGATACCGTTCTTGCGTCTTGTGTTTATTTTTTTTATATTTATGGGTCTCTTTCTGAATTGATGCAACAGTTATTAAAAAAACTGATGAGATTTTATGTCATGCGAGATGCTTTAGGTAGCATTAGAAGCTCGATAAGGCTAGAAGAAGGCGATTGATATTATTTATTTCAGGTTTAATAATTTGTTTAAGTAAGGTGGGCTCAGCGGTAAGCGATGAATTGGCGCTCGAATTTCTTAACCTGTCAAAAAAAAAAAAAAAAAAACTCGGAAACATAGGGGTTTAGCTCCATAATCTCCTATAGAATTTTTTCTAAGAAGACTTCATGAGCAATACACATAAACCAACAACTGACCAAAAACGCAACCGAATAATCAGATTTACCAACCTTACCCTATTTTATATTAATTATGAAAAAGCAGAAGGCTAGTTTAGTAATCATTCAGCCATTTGTTTACCATTTGTATCATTTTCTCTTAAAGTAATCTAGTGGCTGGCATGTTAGTAATTTTGAATAAATTTCGATTAAAAAAAGATGATGTGACTAGCGAAAAAATAATGGACAATCATTGTGGTACTCCCAAGAAATATCTAGATAAGGGAAATAATTTGCTCTGCAAATTTACTCGAAAAGAATTTGTTAGATTGTAAGAAATATCTTTGATGTTATTGTCAATTTTAGACATTTATAAGACAATGATTCTTATATTGGAAATTAATATTCTGCTTAAATAATTATTTTTTTCAGATAAAAAATATTACCGATTTACTTTCAAATAAAAATGGTTAACGCAAATTCTTTGGTTCAGAAAATGCTTTGCAATTTTGCTTTTCATGGGCAGCTGTCCTGCATGCATGTTTCTTTTTTTATTAAAGTTTTGGCACTGATGTCAAAAGGATTATCGGTAAACAAACAAGTTGAATTTGGTCTGGAATTTTAGGTAGTTCACTAGCAGTTGAATATGAATAAAAGCGCTTTTGACTTTATTCGACTCAATAAGAGTTGAATATATATATATATATATATATCATTGATACACGTCTTCTAAATCGTTTTGATCTAGCACGAATCTCGAGGCATATCTTAGATGACAACTTCCAACATTAAGTTCAAGATAATCGGAACATCAATTTCAACAAATTTATAGTAAAAATGAATGTCCTAGCGAGAAAAACCTAACAATACTAAATCGGTCCAATTCGAGCCTAAATGGACACAAAAATGTAGGGCTTAAAGCATATTGAAAAACTTAGGGTATTAGTTTGATTAACAAATTATATCCAAATATAGCATGCTTATAGACTTATAGTCAAATTGAGCGGCTCAACCAGGCAAATCCAACGAGCCTAAGATTACTCAATTCTTACATCATTAATACACTTGAATACTGAACAAATGCTTTATGATCAAGAGAATCATTATTGATTGTCCGATGGAGCAGTCCGAATTTAACCTGGATCTTCTTCGTATTTTTTGACCTTTCTAACAGAGCAAGAAATAAAATAATAAAATAATGAAATAATAAAAAAGAGGCTCAAATCATTACCTCTGTCGAAATCCTCTGAATATCCTGCAGAATTCCTACCGTTTGCTATAGTGTCGCATCCTACAGTCCTGTGAACGACGCCAAATGCAGTCGCCATGCCCCGCGTGCGCAATTCCTTCTCAAATCTCGCTTCTGCGATTAGTCTACAGGATGTTAAAACGTGACCAAAGCCTCATACATCGAACTTCTTTGGCATTTCCTTCACTCCCGCACACAAACTTCTTCCCGCTTCTTCCCCTTCCCATTCTTCCTTCAAAACCTCGCGATCTCCAACCAGCCTCCATGCAAACTGATGCATCCTACCTCTGATCCAAACAACAACCACAAGCCTTACAACCTATTGCATCTCCGGTCCCTTCATACGCAGAGCCCTCTAGCAGCCCCTTTCACTTGCCGATCCTCACTCAACTATACCCTTCTCTGCTCCAAATCGAACCCATCCTTGCGATCTCTCCCATTGTCTGCTCTAATCGAAGCCGATGCCTCCCCACAACCTGCCCTAGCTGACCTCCTCTACCCTATCCTTACCTAGCAGTCGAACCCGACGCCAAAGACGCAAAAGCCGCCAGCCTTCGATGACCTTCCATGTTCTGAGAGCTTTCCAAACCGTGAACCTTACCTAGCAACCAAACCCGACGCCAATGCCGCAAGCCTACAAGTTCCTAAAAAGAGCATCGCACGTGTTCAAATGACAGTTGCCCGTACAACTGACTAGAATTAAACATTTTAAAATGCCCCCACACGTGTATTGCAACATGTATACACACGAGCACAGAAGTGCACATTTAATCATATTAGCCCGTATACATGTAAGGATATTGATGCAGGACTAAATATGATTTTAATGAATGTGAGAAGAACTTGCACGTTTTGAATAAGAGCAAATAGTAATTAAGACTGTTAACTAATAAACGATGATAAAAAACGAATGTGGGGTAGCTACGCTTAGGCCAAATCACATGCTAAGAACTTAAATCACTAAAGTAATTTAGAATTTCATTCAAAATGCAAATTAAGTAGTTATTCAATAAAAATTCTTAAGTTAACATTGAGATTAACACATAGAAAATCAAGAACACAAATATTATGTTTACTAAGCGAAGGCAAAGAGCTTGGCATGAATCATTGTGTTTGAATCACAACCTACAAGATCAGAGGATTTAGAAGATAAATGAAAAGTGGAAGAAGTTCACCCTTGTCGAGGACCGGAAGCAATTTGCCATTGAACGTTGGCGAACTATTCTTCGATTGCTTCAGATAGTGTGAAGATTATGCAATTCAAATATTCTTCGACGGAGTTGTCGACTTTCGGGTTGACATCGAAGAATGTTGACTAGAGAATGTCGATGTTTCCTTGCTTGTTGTAGACGAATTCAGAATCAAGCTTGGGATCGGCCATTCATCGATTCCTTGGTTGTAGTATTGTAGATGAAGGTCTTGACTTTCCCTTACAGACTTCTCTCGAGAGGGAGGAGATTATCTCAAGAATCCAAGAGGGAAAGAGGGAGAGAGTTGGCCGGCCAAGGGTGAGAGCGTGGGGAGAATTTGGTTCAGATTTTTAGAGAAAAGAAGGTAGAGGGAAATCAAGCAATTATTTCCCCAATTAATCCTTTTAATTTGGAAAGGATTTGGTTGTAGTTAGGAAAGGGTGGGGGCGGCTAAGAAAGAAGGAAAGAGGATTTGAGATCCTCCCAAAGGAGAATAGCTTGAAGTTGGAAAGTAATTAGGAGGTGGGGACCGAAGGAGGGGGCCGACGGCATGGAGAAAGAGGGATTTGGAAATTAAAATCAAGCCTTATTGATTTAGATTATTAAATTAGAAGGGCTTAATTAATTCCCAATTAATTTTAAAATTCAAAGGGCTAAAATTTGGCAACTTTCCTAAAATAGGATTTGTATTTTAGGTAAGAATTTCAAATTCAATTAGATTTGAATTTGCAAATTGATTGAGTTACCCAAAATATAAAAATCCAATTAGGAAGGAGGTAATTACAAGCATTGATGGAGGGAAACCCAAAGGGAAGGGGCCGGTGGTTGGGCTAGGGATTTGGGTGAGGGGGGCCGGTGGCTATGTAGGGAGAGAGTGGTTATTTGGGGGTGGTGGTGGTGGGATGAACCAATAGGTAGGAAGGGGAGCGTCTAAGGATGTTGCGTGGGTCAAATGAGAAATCCAAGTTTAAGCCCGATTCTTCTATACGAGTAGATAGAAATAGATATGGATCTAACTATCAAACAAATATACGGTCACAGCGTCAGCCAAGATATTTGTTTTAATACGTTCATATTTAGGCCTTCAAGGCCTATAAATAATGAAAATTCACTAACAAAGGCATAATGCCAATGACAAACCCGATTCTCTGCCGGCAAGTTCACATAGTTGACAAGGTTCAATCAACAAAATACAAATTATCTCTAAATACACTAATGGTGGTCGTGCTGAACGTAGATCTCAACCGGAGGGGTTAATTCTAAATATTCAAAATGCTACCCAAATACCCATGAAAATTCAAAACTAAAAAAAAAAAAAAACAACATTAAGCCTTTATCCCACTATGTGGGTCGGCTAAATGAATCCTTTTTCTCCATTGTGTCATGTACTCCTGTTAAAAGTCAAATTCTCATTTAAATATATTAAAGAAATGTCATTTCTAATATTTTCTAACCAAGTCGTTTTAGGTCTATCTCTACCTTTCATAACAGAGACCAAATATATTACATCTACTCTCCTAACAGAGTCATCGGAAGACTGACATTTTACATGACCAAACCATCTAAAGCGACTCTAATCTTATTTGTCATTAGAGTTACTTCAACCTTTTCATGGATATGCTCGTTTTGTATCTGTTTCTAAGAGTAAATCCACTCATCCACCTGAGCATCCTCATCTCAGCAATACTCAACTTAATATTATGTTTCTCTTTTAATGGCTTACATTCTGCGCCATAAAGCATTCTAGGTCTCATCACCATCTTATAAAACTTTTTCTTAAGTTTGAGTAGTACTTTTCTATCACACAATAAACTCGAAGCATTCCTCCACTTAAACCGTCCAACTTTGATTTTGCTAATAATATCTCCATCTATTTCATCATCACTCTGAACAATAGACCTAAGATATCTAAAATGAGTACACTTATTAATGACTTGATCGCTCAAAGTCACAAACCCCCCACTAGATCTATTACTACTAAAATTACACTCAAATGTATTCGGTTTTAGATCTGCTCAAATGAAAACCTTTAGAGTCTAAGTTTGACCTCCATAATTCAAGTTTACCTTCAACTCCATCTCTAGTTTTATCAACCAGAAGAATATCATTAGCAAAAAACATACACCAACGTACATCTTCTTGCAAATGTCTAGTAAGAACATTCATGACTAAAGCAAAAAAGATAAGGGCTTAAGACTAATCCTTGATATAATCCGACCGAAATAGGAAAATACTTAGTCAAACCACCTTATATTTGAACACAAGTAACAACTCCTACATACATATCCCTAATGAATTGAATATAAGCATTATTAACCTCCTCCGTTTCTAGAACTCTCCATAGCACTTCTCTTGAAACTTTATCACATGCTTTCTCTAAATCAATAAATATCATATGTAGATCCTCCTTATTCTCTCTAAACTTCTCCATCAACCCTCTAAATAAACGAATAGCTTCCATACATCTGATATTTCTTGCATGCATCCCTAAAATTCTACTGACTGTCATCTTTGATTTTCTCAATCATAAAACTAGCATCATTTCATCATGCTATGTTACATATTTGAGCTCTTCACAATGCCAGGAGAAAGTTGGTTGACTAAGATATAACATTTTTTTGGTGTACTAGTCACAAAATATTGTCAATATGCTTCTTATTGATAGTTTTTTCCCCTCGTATCAAATCTCAACAACCAACCTTCCTGTTTGCAATTCTTTGCAGTAAGCTAGCACTTGGTTTTCCTCAGAGAACAATGTTTGACAATATTGATGATGCCGGGTTGTCCTTCGGTATTTACTACCAAAATATCCCCGCTGTCCTCTTCTACCGGAATCTTCGCAAGTTGAAATACGTCACCAAATTTCACTCATACGATGATCAATTCAAGGCTCATGCAAGCAGCGGCAAACTTCCAAATTACGCTGTAATCGAACAGCGATACATGGACTCCAAGACTAGGCCAGCCACTGATGATCATCCTTCCCATGATGTTTACCAAGGCCAGATGTTCATCAAGGAGATATACGAAGCTCTTCGTGCTAGTCCTCAATGGAATGAAACTCTCCTTATCATTACCTATGATGAGCATGGTGGGTACTTCGATCATGTTCCTACCCCTGTGAATGGTGTCCCAAATCCTGATGGAATGATTGGCCCAAGCCCTTACAATTTCAGTTTTGACCGTTTGGGAGTTAGGGTTCCTACCATCATGGTTTCTCCCTGGATTGAAAAGGGTACAGGTGAGTGATCAGTTGAACTTTCCTACTTTTAGGCTTTGTTTTGGATGACTTTTTTTGCTTCTCAAAGCAGCTTTCTAGTAAAAAAATTAATTTTTGTACTAAAAAACTGCTTTAAGAAGCAATAATAAAGCCGCCTTAAACGAAACCTTAATAACAACAATTGTCATAAGAAGTTAGGCACAGCTTAGAAGTTTTTTTTCTTGATGAATTTCCTTGCAGTTGTTCATGGCACCAATGGTTCACCAACATCAACTTCTGAATATGAACATTCATCAATACCTGCAACAGTGAAGAAAATATTTAATCTCCCATCACCACACCTTACAAACAGAGACGCATGGGCCGGAACTTTTGAGAGCGTCGTGCAAACAAGAACGGAGCCTAGAACTGATTGTCCAAGTAAGTCGATCATGAATTTATTACAGTTTCTGTGGTACATTGTCGTTTTAACTTTTCAGGAACGTGCAGTATACTTACCTGAATAATGATTGAAGTTTTTAGGTTTGTTTCTTCTCGCTTTTCATCGTTTATGTGAATTCATAATTTTATCGATCAAACAGGTGATTAGACAAATTCCTGACCTTCAATGAAGATATTCCCGTTACATCTGTTATTTCTAAAGCATATTTGAATGAAAGAAAATTGATAAGGGTTTAAAAGCTGAATTCAATTGTTTCAAAAATCTATTGTAAAGCAAATGTGGTTGAACAGATTTATTTTGCATTGAATCCATTTTGCCACTTCCAGTTCGATTTTCAGAGCCTAATGTTGAGTTTTCGACCCTAAATTTTACCCTAAAAAGCAAATTGTGGCGTGGCTTATTGCCCGTTGGAAACTAATTATTGATGCTAAGACTATACCATTTACCATCTCCATCTAGTAAAGAAATTTTATTAGATGGAGGCGGAGGAAGGCCTGTAGGAATTATTCTGTTGAGTTCTCAGCTTCACTGCAGCTGTGGATTTGATATTAAATTTCTTTCTACGAAATGTCTTTTGTTGTTAAATAATAAAACTGTATTAGAGAAATAATGATTGAAATTTTCACAATAGAAATATAATAAAATCTCTATCAGCAGAGGGGTTGTTTGGTAGAACCCACGATTTGATTTAAGTAGGATTTCGTAAATCTGCTTAATCCGAATTTCAGAAATACTGAGAGGCCTAAATCCTGAAAATTGTTTGGTAATATTCACGATAAATCCTATTAAATCCCGTGTTACTGTTTGGCTATAGAATGAATTTAACAAGCGGACTCTTCCTCTTGAGCAGGCAAAAACTAGGATTTCGGAAATCCAAGATTTAGCACGAAAAGGCAGAATATTCTGTCTACGGTGGCTTTCATTTGCGTGAGATTTGGCTTTGCATTTTAGGCCATTTGGCTTGATTTAGCTGAAATCCGTCTCAAATCCGGCCTAAATCCTGCTACCAAACAACCCCAAAAATTATGTTTTTACGCATTGATATTCTTTGCTTTTTTTTTTCTTTTTTTTTTTTTCACTCTCACAATTTGAATTAGATTTCACCTCTTTCTCAACCTATTACTTCTCACCCAGTTTGAAATTGATTATAAAAAATCGATTTTTAACCTACTTTCACAATTTGCGCAGCCCAACTTCCAACCCCATCAAAGATCCGGAAAACCGAAGCCAACGAGGATGCACAGCTGACCGAGTTCCAGCAGGAACTTGCGCAACTTGCTTCAGTTCTCAACGGTGATCACTTACTGTCAAACTTCCAAAATGTCATAAAGAAAATGAATGTTAGACAAGGGCTGTCATATGTGGAGAACTCCATGAAACGTTTCCTTGAAGCTGCAATGGCTGCAAAGAGAATGGGCGTCGATGAAGAGCAGATTGTGAAGATGCGACCTTCGCTAACATCCAGAGCAATGTCATCTGCTGGCCATCCTTAAAATGATGCAGATTGTATAGAGCATATATCTCAACTTTGTATCCTTATTATAACTTTATGCTTGCAAAGCATTGTAAATGCTTGTTCTTTGCACCCTCTTATCAATGGATAACTTTTATCTATCCATAGGCTATAGGGTCATTTTAATCTCAATTATCTAATGAGTTCTATTTAGGGCCTGTTTGAGATGAATGTAGTTTTCTAGCATTCAAGTTGTAAAGGTCAAGTAAATGTGCCCATTTTTTTTTATCGAATATCGTTTTCACTGTAAACAAGCTCTCTTATTGCCACCTAACCCTTAGGGGTGTCAATTTGGGTCAACGGGTCGGGTTCGGGTCGAACCCAGAATTAACCCAACACTGTTCGGGTCAACTCGAACCCGACCCTTTTTAAAAATGAGTCAGTTTTTCGTACTCGAATCCGACCCGATTCGGGTCCGGGTCAAACAAACCAGACACGAATGACCTGAAGTTGATCTAAAATTGCTAGTTTTCGGGCAAAATCGGGTCAATCTTCGATTTTCGGGTCAAAATTGTGTAAAAAATGAGTCAATCTCTGGTTTTCGAGTCAAATAGGAGTTTTCGTGTCAATTTCGGGTAATTTTTAGGTTGTTGGGTCAATCCGAACCCGACCCGATTTTTAAAACGGGTTGATTTGTTGAACTCGAACCCGACCGTTTCGGGTCCGGGTTGACCCTAACCTGGATTTTTTGGGATCGGATTCGGGTCGTGTTTCGGGTCGTATCAAAAATTAACACCCCTAACCCTCTACCCTTCTTTGCTTGCCGCCGCTACCAACATTGCCGCCTAATGGTGAGAACTTCTTAAGGAAACCACAAATAAGAACTTCTTCAAAACGCAAGGGTCCTTTGCTTTGATTAAGTAATGGTATGCTAGGGATCTTCAAATGTATTCTAAATCCTTCAAAGTTCATCTAGGTAGGCAGTCTCTTGCCCTTGAGGATTTATATGATCTTTAAAGATATATTTCCAACTCCAACAAAGATGTAACACTAACTTTGAATACAAGTTTTTGATTGAATACCATTCACATTTTGATGTTGAGGGAGGTTGTTACAATCACCAGCTTAGGTTTTCATTTGGGACGGCTTTTTTATTACTTTTTAAAGCAATTTTTTAGTAAAAAATTTTAATTTTTGTGCTAAAATGTTATTTAAGAAGCAAGAAGAAAGCCGTCCCTAACGCAACCTTAATTTAATACCTATAGATTAAAATATTTTTTTAAGTCCTAACTTCCCTAATTCCATCATACATGTGATACGCATCCTCGCCCAATCTTCATAAAGGATGAGGAGAATTCAATTAAGCATCAAGCTTCATTTTTTACGGTTCTTGAAATATACACATATAATTGTTCGCTCCGGAAAAATCATCTTAAATTTAAAATAATGCGAACCTCGCTCTCACGAACTTATAGATTCTCTTTAATTTTTTCAGAGGTAGATTGAGTTTAATATTTAACAAGATTTCCCCTGAAGTTGTAGTGTCCAGGGAATCTGATTAGCAGCCATGGGTTGCCTCCTCTCAGGGATCCCGAATAAACTGAAGTGGAGATGTGTGAATTTTAATTTAGTTTAGTTTAATTTGGGTTGAGGCTTATGGCTTCCTTAGAAGTTGCCCGTTAATTTGTTTAGTTTGGGGCTTACAGCTTCCTTAGAAGTTGCCCGTATGATTTGATTTGGATAGGAGCTTATGGCTTTCATTTGAAAGTGGTCCTGATAGTGGGACTTACAACCTCTATTAGAGGTGGCCCACTAATTTGTTTGAGTTTTAGGTTTAGGTTCGTTCATTTAGAAACCTCTATTAGAGGTGGCCCACTAATTTGTTTGAGTTTTAGGTTTAGGTTCGTTCATTTAGAAACCTCTATTAGAGGTGGCCCACTAATTTGTTTGAGTTTTAGGTTTAGGTTCGTTCATTTAGAACTTCCCTAACATACGGGTCTTACTGCTTCACTTAGTAGTAGTCCTAATAACGGGTTTTACAACTTAGCCATATAGGTTAAGATGCCCAATTAAGGATTTGAGTTTTGGTTTTAGGGTCGTTCGTTTTAAAAGTTCCCTAACAAGCGGGTCTTACTGCTTCGCTTAGAAGTAGCCCAAATGGCGGGTCTTACAACATAGTCCTATAGACTAAGATGCCCATTTAAGGGATTTGAATTTTAGTTTTAGGGTCGATTGTTTAGAAATTCCCTAACAAGCGGGTCTTACTGCTTCGCTTAGAAGTAGCCCAAGTGGCGGGTCTTACAACTTAGTCCTATAGACTAAGATGCCCATTAAGGAGTCTAAAGTTATGTTGCTTTCTAACTATTACTCCTAAAGATTGGACTTACGACTTTTATTGAAAGTAGCCATAGGAATTTTAGGAAATTATTGCTTCACTTAATAAATATATATTTAATGAAAGAATTGTCGAGAGGATTTACTGCTTCTATTAGAAGTAACCTATAGGATTCATATTAGCTAGGGCATAACTTTAGACACATTGCTCCATCGACGTCAAATTTAGTGTCTTATTTTATGTTCATAGTTTTATTTCTACTACAACAATTTGTGGCTTTATTTTAGTATTGTCATTTATTATTATTATTTTTTTTACAGCTTTCAGCACTTTGTTTTGCATGCAATAGCTAGATTCTACTTTTTCCAGCATTTAATTTAATATTGTTTATTGATACACTGACTTTTGTCTGTTCGCTTGCAGGTGTTCGTACCAAGAAAATTAGAGAGCTCTCAGTTAGGTGCATGAGCCATTGTTGAGAGTCTTGGAGATTTGTTGGAGAGAGTTTGAACTTTGTTTTGAGAGTTTTAGAGTTCTTTGTTGGAGAACTCCTTTGTTCTTATGTTTGAGTCGATCTTTAGCCCTTTGGAAGGTTGCCAATTTGAGAGCTACCAAAGAATTGTTTATAGAGTAATTGTATTCCAGAGCTGCTCAGTAGTTTGTAAATAAACTGGACTATTGGAAACATTTTATATTAATTAAATTGATCAAATGAATATTCTTCGATTTGTCTAAGTTCAAAAATTTTGAGAAAATTTCGGCAGCCTCTCGACGTCCCCTCTCCGATGCCGGGAGGTAAGAGAGTAGCTCGACTCGGCCGGATCAAATCGACGGCGAGGAGATTTAAGAGAGCGAATCGATCCCAAAAGGAGTCTTCGAATCTTCAAATGTGCTCGATCTGCTGATTAAATAATTTAAATTAATTGATCAAATAATATATTTAAATCATTATTAATTTAATTATTTTTGCTTCATTGAATGTTCTCCACTTTTCTCAAAAATTCAAATAAGTCCAAAATTTTTCTAAGTCTTGAATTTTTGACAAAATTTCGACAGCCTCCCGACTTCACCTCCCCGATGCTGGGAGGTAAGGGAGTGGCTCGACTCGGCCGTATCAAATCAACGACGAGGAGATTTGGGAGAGGGAATCGATCTCATAAAAGAGTCTTCAAGTCTTCTAATTTGGGCGTCCGACCTGCTAATTTAAACAATTTAATTTAAATTTAAAAAGAATATTTTTAGTCTCCTCAAAAATCCAGCAGCCTTCTGGCGCCCCCTCCTCGATGCCGGGAGGTAAGGAGGGCATTTGCCCTTTGGCTCGACTCGGCCGGAGCGAATCAACGGCGAGGAGATTTGGAAGGTAGTGTTTGCGCTCCCTCGGTCGGATAATCTCGACGACCGAGGACTTCAGTGGACCGAATCAACCCCGAGACTTCCTTCAAATTGCTCCCATTTGTTTGCAAATTATTTCTCTTCATCTCTCTCCTTTTTTTATTATTATATATACATTATATATATATA